TTACAACTATGGTATTGAAATTTTTGTCAAATTTTCATGGCTCAGTGGAGGACCATCAAAAACTAATATTGTATTTTCCTTCATGACACCTGTCAGTTACAACAAAGGTGGATTTTGTTAAAATATTGAGGTCACCAAGGGGAAGAAAGTTCTCAAAATAGAAACATCCTGAAGTGTTTTCTAGTCAGAAATAATTTTTGTCACATAAATTAGGATAATGTATTTGATTAAACACTCCAGCTAAACAGATTAAAGAAGAAAAATTGTTTTTATTGTATAAACTTTGCATTTTCCTTGAGGGCCATTCTACATCAGAGAAAGTGGATTGTCTTTTGGGTTAAAGGTGAATTTGTGTCATATAAACTTTCAAGTTATAGCATTGTTAAAACTTGTGAATTGGGAAAGATTTATGTTAAAATAATTGAAATATTGCATGAAAAATTAAATCTAAACTATTCCAAATTCACATCATGTGGTTTAACAATATTTGTTGAGTTAGGGTCTATACTACAAGAGACATGTATATGTCTCTGATGTACAGGCTAGATTAAGATTTTCTAGCTAATGTAGCTCACCTTTCCAATCTTCTCTTTCACTGGACATTTCGGTATTGATTTATTGAAACAAATATAAGAAAAAGAGATGGGGTATGATTGGAAATAAGAAAACTATCTACCAGAGTTCAAATTACGAGGATATAAGCAATTGCAGGTCACTGTGCGGCCTTCAACAATAAGAAATCAAAGTACTGAAGTACTGAACATCGGATGACCGCAAGTTTTGGTGGATAGTCACAGGCTCTTGTCTCAGAAAAAATAAAATATCTCTGTACCTGAAAATAAGGTTAAGGTACATAGATTTTTTTTTTCTGAGACAAGTTCCTGTGTGGACAATGAATAAATGACAGAATTCAATCTCACCATAATAATTATTATATTGTAGTGATATAATCATGGGACAATCATTTGTTATCAGTATAATCTGGTTTGTTGTTATATACTATATTAATATTTGTACAACAGTTACATATATAGCAGATCATCTTAATAACTCTACCGGCAAATTTTTATCTATTTATACCATCATTCTATTCTACTATTCTAATGATAGTGCAGTGCAAGTGCATGGTCGACACTCTTCTGTAATCATTCGTTTTTCTAATAGGTTTGATTTGAGTAGGCATTCATATTTCTCCCGCTAATGAATATGTATTGATGAAATAAATATATATAACAAGCGATAAGAGATATTCATCCGCAAACACAATTTTTCAGTACGTGTGCATAGATATTAATGATTTTTACTTATATATATATATTTCTCACAACAAAACATTTTCATATTATTTATTTATGGTCTTAAAAAATATTTTCATGAGTATTCATTAAAGAAATGGAATTTATAACAAGCGATATGGAATGTTATTTTGCACTCGATAATATCTGCGTATTTATACCAAATACATTCAGTTATCAGTCAAAAACACAAGTCACGTGGGTAGAAATGTCTGCGGCAACATAACACCGGCAACATAACACCGGAATGCCCTCAAGGTCATCTGCTGTAAAAAATCATACTGTATAGTCAGCTATAAAAGGACCTGACATGAAAAATGTGTAATGATTCAAAACAAAACTAAAAGCCAAATTTATAACAATAAAATTTACTTGAAATAAATATGACTGACATGAACCAACGACAAGACTGCGTAGTTACCTTTGCACATTTTAAACATTATTATGCTGAAGCGTATTTGCATTTTCCCCATTCGTTTTCTGGAATATGTTATTCTATCTCAGGTATCCTATTAACTTAAACAAAAAAGAAAGAAAAAGGTGAAAATCTGTACTTGGATCAACTAGTTTTAATTGTTTATATTACTTGACTTGAAGCAGGGTTTCAAATTTGAAAAGAATTGACCAAAAAAGTATAAATGTTTTCTTTTTAAAAACACAAATAAAATGAAAAGTTTGGTATTTATGTCAGTGATACAGCAACTCAACAACACAATAAAAAGCAGAAAACATCCATAGGTCAACATATGTGCTTAAACAGTAGACAAGGGTTTACACACTATAATGATCATCCTGAGTGTAAACAAAGTTTTAATGAATTAAAGGAGACTTCCAAACATCTGCATTCTGCACCAAATTTTTTAAAGGACATAAAACTATGATAAGAACAAATAAACTCACTGGTTGTGCTCCTGACAGATAGGCACATTGAAATATTAATGGTTTACCATGAAACAAACCATTCATAACCTTCCAAACAGATTGTCTTTATAGGAATGTAAACTTTTCTTGATGATATGGTCAGAAAAAACCAGTAATTCAATATCAAGGAAAAGGTTTCAGAATCTCAGGTGTTAAACCAGATACTGCCCTAGAATGTCGTTCAAAACTTCAAATACTTCAACCAATTTTTGGCAAGAGATACTTCATTATTTTATTTACCATTATACAATGATAAAACTTGGAGTTTCTCAAATGAACTGTTTGTGTGTGTTTCGTTGTTATGTATATCGGGTCACATGACATCTTTTAGTATTTATATTTTCAACATATTTAGATTTTGAGTAAAATTTTGCAGTTGGTATAAATTTTGATAACATTATGAATTTATTGGTTAACTCTTTCCTTTGAGAAACCTTTTCTATATAGTTGACTTTAACAAGTATTTTACTAATTTTCTACTGAATGCATGTATTGATTGGTACATTAGACGTAAATCATTATCACTTCAGTAAAAACTATTTTGTATTAATACAAGTATTAAAGAATTTACATTTAACACATAATAAATACACTATAAAACCATTATTGAGGAACTGACATCCCACTTTAATTTAGCTAAAGATTGGAGTCTAAAGAATATAAAATCAATGAGCCTCGAAAAAGTTAAAAATTTACTGTTAAATAATTTGTTTGCTTACTGCCACTATTAAATAAATTTTTTTTTTGCTTTGACATTCCATTTAAATTTTTGATTGACACATTTTATTGTCTAACTTTTTATTTTGTAAATTTAGATTTTTGATAAATATGGTTGGTACATTGTTCAATGTAATTATGTTTTGACAATTTCATGCATGGATGCAGTGAAGTAAATTCAACAGTGTGGTTTAAAATGATTAGGTGGTTTAAGCTGATAAACGATTTGGGGAGGAGTAGTGAACAGTCTTCTATTATTCTGCTACAACAAATAGGTAATAACAGCAATTCACTTTTGCTTCAATGTGGCGTTGGATAAGCATCAAAACTCTACAACGCTAATACAATATTCTTTGTAAGACTCTCAATGACTTACTCTTTTTAAACCGTTATCGTAAAATCTTGTCCTCTGGCTAAATATAGATTATGTCTAATATTTGATTGGCAGCGGAAATAAAAAGTTTATTGTTTGGCTATCTCAACATATCTAAGGAATACACAAACAAAAACAAGTTAGACTGCATACAAATTTCAAATTGAGGAAAAAATGCAATTTAATTTTTATTTGTTAAAAGGATTTTAAAGCTCTATAAGAGCTATTGACATGCTTTCAAAATCAATTTTCATGTATCATTTAAAAGAGTTAAAAATCAAATTTTTTAAGTGCATTTTATAAAATGCTAATGTATATGTTTATTGAATGTGAAAGGTTTGGCGTAAATGCCAAGTACAAATGATGTGTTTTTTGGTAGTAATAACCCTTGTGATTTGTTCAAAGAGGAAAATAAAAATGGTTGTAAATAATGTGTTGTGTAAAGATTAATGACCATGGACCCTTTTCTTTGGTTTGGTAGACAATTTGGAAAGAACTTCTAGGAACTGTTTAAGTTCAAAAAGTGATGAAAAATTGTTGATACTTGACAGTATTTATTGTGATTATAGTGATCCAAACCCATATTGAATCACAAGGTCACTAAGAATAGTTGATATCATTCACATGGTAGTCATAAAGTTACATAGCATGTGAAAAAATTCTTGTTTGCTGCAGAACTTTAGCTTTAAAGGCCACTCCAAGTATGTCAGTGTCATATATACTGGTATTATAGATGATTTCAATCAGGCTTTGGTTTCTCTCAAGATTGTTTAACTCCTAGATATGTTCCATTTATCTTAAAACAATTGAAATAAAATGCATTTTCTTCAGATATCATCTTTACAAACGGTTTGTTTATCTGTTTGACGATGAGATAGTAAGACATTTCCTATTTAAGGTATTGTTGAGCAGTTGTTCATTTAACTATTCTTGTTAAAAATTACAGCTCTTAACATTTTTTAAATGGATCCGACATGTCATAAATATTAAGTTTAATGATCTGTTGACGAAATTAACATATAGAAGGAGGAGAAATGGATATTTTTGTAAGGCCACCCGACACGACCTTTGTTTTAAATGGGAGAAATGATAAGATACACCAGATTTAAGTTTATGATATGCGACAATGGTGGTATCAGTTTAAAACACTGGGTATCAGTTGTCTTATTGTTGTGTAATTGTTATGGTTAAGGCAGACTGTTAAATCATTGAAGGTAAAGTTGTAGCAGGTAGTATAGGTTTTTTAAAACAACATTTTTTCTGACACAAAAGAAAGTTATCTGTCTCATTAGCTACATGATTTAAGACTGCAGTCTTCTGTAGTCAATGTCTTAAATCTAGTCCATTCCAATGCAGTGTTTGAAGAATGTCTTTGGTGTACATACTGTAAATTCACAATTTTTCCTTGCATTTATTGTTGAAATTTTTGAACAATTTAAAAAAAATTCAGATCAATTATTGTGTTTTCAAGAATGCAGCATTTTTATAATTCAATTAAAATGTAGAAATGGGATTTTCTGTCTCTTTTCAAAACATATACCATCACAATTTTTCACAATAATAAAAACTTCACAAAAATTTCTGAATTTACAGTATCTTTAAAAGAGGAATTTTTTAAGTCAGTGTTATATTATAGGTTAATTAATACTTTAAAACATACCATATTTAAACCTAGTTCTGATTTATCTTTGCAGTTGCCCATAGTATATCCCAGTGGAATGGGAGAGCTTGTTGTGATCTTGCTGTAAAAAGACAATGTAAAGAGGCATGCCAACAGGTAAATAATACAATATTGGAATACCTTCCTCTTGGGGTGAGGGGGGGGGGGGGAACTCAGCAAAAAAATAGGATTTTGATGAGTAACATTAAGTATCCCTTTCTATATTTTATCAAATATTTTACGATGAAATGGAAATCAGCATTTTTATCTGAGAGAAAAACTTAAAATGGATGGTAAAATCCAACAGTTACAAAATTGTAATTTTTTAAGTCTTAGAATGTCAAATATGAATACAACTAGAAATAAGTACTTGATAACCAATATAAAACTGAAGCATAAACAGTGCAGACTTGCATGTAACAAGGAGGCACAGTGCACCACAATTTATGTGCAGTTCTCTGATAAGACAAATTTTTAAAGTAATTTATCAAAGATGTTGAGACATTTAACAGTATTGACTGATATGATTAATCACCTAAACCAAGAATCCTTGTATTCATCTATATTAACTGTTTTTTCAAGCAAAATGTTTCCTAAACTTTTATCGACAATCTGATGTAGGACTTGACAGTGATGCATGTATCTATACAGACCTGACATTGTAGGACCTTTAACCTTTAGAAATCAGTCAAAAACAAAGGTACCAGTGTTCATCACTTATCTTATCAAGTTTTTAAACATCCTTGGCTTTCAAATCTTTTAGTTTGAGCATTCCTGATGAAGGAAAGTCATTTACCCTCAGTTAATTAAAACACATTGATTTTGAAGGCCCTGTTTCACAGTGGTGAATGTTGACCATCAGACACTGCTATTAAGTACTACATGCTGCTGTTAACCTAGAAACTTTGTTTATTTCATTTTTCCAAATTCAATATCACTTGATTCCATTTATTCATGGAAGTTGTAATTTATCTGTATTTTTTCCTTACCTTTGATAGAAGGAGGCCAAAGGTTGACTGTCTATGAGACAGTGTATGTTCATCCTCGCATCGTCCGTCCGTATCAGGTTGAATTTTTGGTATAAGGTAGTTTATCATGGAGTTGCAACCTAGCTCACACGATCTCTTAAAATTATATGCCTTAGAAGGGTTCTGACCCAGATTTAACAGTTTACTGAACATGGAAATGTAATAGTAGAGTACAGGGCTTAATGTCCAATTGTTACATATTTTTGTCTAAAAGTGTTGTTGTAAGTTTAGTATATGGGGACATGACACTCTCAGACAATGCAATATCTGAGTGTGCTTAACACAAGCAACACACTTTCATTCTGCTGTACAGGTTAGTTCATTGTGTTTATTTTGTTGACATAAATTATTGATTCATTTAAGAGAAATAAGCATTTAATATAACAGAAAGAATGACAATGTGCTTGATTCATTTGACAACTACTTTTTGTTCTTGCTACAAAAATAATGAAATGGGACTTTCAATATAAAAATAAGAAATGTGGTATGATTGCCAATGAGACAACTATCCTCCAAAGTTCAAATGAAGTGTATGTAAGCAATTAATTTCAAGTTTGTATTTAGTGAAAATTTAGTAGACAGATTCAAAAAATGACATTACTGATTCAAAAATATTACTTCACAATTGTAACACTAGTATGACTGTTTTTAAAGTATATTTCCAAACAAACTTATGCCAGACAGAATGGAGAAGATAAAGTTTTTTTTACCCCTTATGATATTGTCTTGACTTAAAAATACCTCCCTACTCTGTCAGTGGTTTCCAGAATAAAGTGAGGAATATTTAATTATTGTTAATCTTAATAATTCTCAAGGCAAAAGTGCTATCAGGAAAGTAAACATGTCATTTTTTTGACATGTGTTCTAAACAAATTAATCATGGAGAAGCATTTGGCAGATCAGACTCATCTGGCTCAGTTAAATGTTTTGATAAAACAGTGCTGGAATGGGTGGTCTGTTGTGGTCTGGTTGGACAAAAGTTTACACTTTTTCGCTGTTTCTCATTTACAGAACAACTTATTTTAACAAGTAAATTATTTCATGTGTAAATATTTAAGGCTCTGGTTACTCTGTTTTTGTTTCTTGGTAATGGTTGTATTTAAGTGAAATGCATGTTTAAATTGAGGCCAGTATACATCAGGCCTCAGTTTGATTTAGATTTTATTTGAAATTATTGACAGTCGAAGAAGGTTAAACTTGAACTATGAAGTAATTCTGACAGGGATTTGTAACTTTGTTTGCAAAATATCAAAAACTTTTCTGTAAGATGTTGGGATTTTCAAACTTATTTTAAGCGCTTGCTTATCCCAAGGGTTTTGGTACTGGTTAATTCGTGTAACATGCTGTTATATATATTTCAGGCTTTTTCAATCTTTTAAATGAAATAAGAACTGCATTGTTTAGTTGTTATAGGTCGCTGAAATACATACTCACTTTAAATCTTTCAGGACATAAAACATTCTATGGCATTTTTATGTGTTGTTTATTCAACATTAATTTTTCCTATATTGTGAATATGAATACTTGATATATATTGTGTTCAACATCATCCATTAAGGAAAACAACAGTTCCCCATTTTCCAAGCTAGTAAATAATTAAAATCATTTCTGTGTTTTAACCCAATCTTAATTTGTATTACATAACTTTATGATAATAATGAAAACCCGTTAATAAACTGTTTACTAGTTTAAAAGCGATACTTAAAATTATACCAGAAATGATTTATTTTAATGGTTTCTGTGTTATAAAACAGAGAACCTTGGGTAATTAGTTAAAATAGTCTGGGAGGGTCTTGCACCAATTTTATACAATAGAATGACTCACATTGAAGTGGAAATTTATTTCAGTATTATGAAAAGATAAGTTATTAAAGATAAAATAAAAAACTGAAAGATTGATATAAGAAAGGTTCATGGACCCTATATCATGCAGGTTCAAAATAATGTTTATTGATGATAATAGAGAAGAATAGAAAGGAATTTATACCTAAAAGATTTTAGATTTAGTCTCTCTTCATCTCAGAGGCCATGCATTAACAATTGTATGGAACGATTACAATATGCATATTCTGATTCATTATTAGATTTTATCAAACATTCTGTCGTGAAAACACATATTTAACATGCAGTGGTGCAATAATGCGGTTTTCATGTCTAATGACATAATAAAAAAAAAAAAGAATCAACTGCATGTGGAAGATTATAGGAAAATGTAGAAAGCTTATCTTAAATCTTTTAACGTATGCCGACTTGATGCCTGTTTAATTATGGTAATAGGTGGGTTACCAAATGATATAAATTGTCCTTTTGATATTTTGGAGTCACCTTACATATGTTGGAATAAGATTAAATACCAGAAAATTTAGAATAGTCGGGAAAATGGAATAAAGAAATTATTGAATTTAGAATACACATAATGCATTTTTATGCCCCGCCATATACAGTGGGGGTATCAAGTATAACTCTTGACCTTCTGTCTTTCTGTCTTACTGTCCGTTCTTTTGTCCATCCCATTTTTGTTTCTGCACTATTAACTTAAGTTTTCCTTGTTCAAATTTCATGAAACTCATACGCAATGCTGAGAACAACAACTCGAAGACAGAGTTCGAATTTGAGCAATATGTCATTTATTTTTCTAGAGTTATGCCCCTTAATAAATTGGAAAATTGCAAATATTTTCATTTCCTCACTTTTAACTTACCGGTAAGTTTGATTCATCCAAATATTGTGAAACTCATACACAATGCTGAGAACCACAACACAGTACAGGGTACATCAAGAGAAGCTTGGAATCTTTATGGTTTTTTGTAACAAGCAAGATTTGATGAATAAAAATATAATGTTGTTAAGAAAAAAAATAGAACCACAACACACGAAGGAGTTCGAATTTTGGAAGTGAATCATATACGATCAATGATGAAATATTGGTTTAGAATAAAAAATATGAAAGATGGTTTACTGTACGATACCTATATGTGTAACAAAAACATTTTTACTAATGATATTGAATGCTGGTATTCATCCATACATTACATTTTTAAAAAGCTGAATATTCATAATTTGGAGGTAAAGCTTAACTATTTTATCAAGCCAGTTAAGCAAAAACTTTGTAATAGTTTTGTAAAATTTTGGAACACAAAAAGAACAGATACAAAGAGTAGTAAATTAGATAACTTATTTCAAACTAAAAACTTGTTTTTCTAAAGAAATTTATCTATCTTTAAATAATTTTCAATTGAGAAGTGCCTTATGTAAAATCAGAATCAGTGCCCATGATCTCAAAATAGAAAGAGACAGGTATAAAACTTTATATATAGAAAGAGACCAAAGGCTTTGTAAGAAATGTACTCTAAATATGGTTGAAGATGAACAACATTTTATTACTAGTTGTCCAGCATACAAAGATGATAGGGAGATATTTTTTCAAGGAGATAAACAGTATTTGTCCTAATTTTTCATATCTCTCAAATGAGGCAAAATTTGTTTGGTTATTTACTAATGAAAATTTGTCTGTACTTAAATATTTAGGGAACTTATTGTTATTACATGTCTAGATGTTAGACGAAATGTAAATTAATGTATGTAATAACAATGATAATTGTAATGATTTTATGGTTCTGGTCCTGCCTGGAATTAAATGTATGTGACTTATATAGAATGGAGATAATAACATGTCTGAACTTTTTAATGTTTCATTTCAATGTATAAAAAAAAGTGTTTTTCTGTTACAAATCATGATGTATTGTTTTATGTGAACATGTCATGCTGCCCATCAATGGCCCTTGATCAGAATAATAAATATTCTTATTCTTATTCTTCTTATACCGTGCTAGAGTTATGCCCTTTTTAACTGGGGCATTCGTGTCCTCAGACACATTCTTCTATTATTTTTATGATCATTAGTTAAAGTAGAAGTGGCATTAACAACAGTAAGACAACTATCCAATAACACACAATCATTGCTGAAAAAGTGAGTATACAGTTATGAGAAGAACACTTTTAAACTATTTTATAAGGTGTCCTTGTCAAATATGTCTTCATGTTGTGGGTCTGTTAGTTTTGTCTTTGTATAACATTTAAGCATAAACAGTATACCGCAATGCTGACGTCACAATACCATAGAAATACAATAGATACATTCATTGAGGACAAGTTGTTTACTCAAAGTCTAAGTAATTTAATGTTCATGTTTTATTTTTATAACAATAAGAAAATTTCGCAAGCTTCTGTATTATAGAATCACTATTTGCCATGTTTCAGTCATTAATTTGTAAGAACCTTTAATTCTGGTAGACTACATTAAATAAAATTGTAAAAAAATCAAGTTATGGCGTCCATGGAACAGTAGGATTTCTTTCTCAGATGTTCTTTAAATTGTTTAAACTTTATTGTGTTAAGCAGCTAATTAGAACTAATATGTACCATGCTTTTTCTTTTACATATATTGAGAGGATTCCAACGGTGCAATTTAAATGTGTATACAATTTAAAACTTTTAAAATGCATAATAAATTGTTTTTGTTTTTCAGTCAACATCAATAGAAGAAGTGGAAGAAAAATGTAGTAAAAGTACAGAACATCGATTATTTAGCTGTCTGGACAAAGAGGAGGGTAAGATTTTAAACAAAAACATTTTACTCAGACTAAGTATTTGGGTCAATTTAAGATATAGGAATGAAAAACTTAAAATATTAATTCAAATCCTCAACATTACTTTACTATAGGTTGCGGTTTTGAAAAAATTTATGAAAGTTATATTTACTTTCTTTTGTACCTATTGGTCTAAATATAAAACTAAGGAAATGTTGTATGGACTTATCTACACATAAGTAGTTTCAAAACCAATATGCCAAATAACCTTGGATTATTACAAATTCCTCTATTATTACTTGTAGATGGTGCTAGATGTTGCAGATCTTCAAGCGATTATAGTTGTCAACTGGTCTGTCAAGGGATGTTTGCTATGGAGAGTATGACACGACAGGAACAAAGACAAACATTACGTGGACAGTGTCATAGTACAAGCAGGACTATTATGCAGTGTTTACAACATAAAGTCAAATCACCAAGAGATAGTAATCCTATAGATAGTAAGTCTTCACCAGTCATTTACAATCACCTAAATGTTGAATAAAAGACTTTGACAATGTCTCCAAAGAAGGAATAAAGTATAGCGCCAGAAAGATTAAGTTAAGATCACAATGTAAATATCCCTGAACACAAAGAAACCATTCTCTCAACATGTGGCAGCAAAGACATCCTTATCCTAGACTTCTATTTACATATTCATTTGTGCAATATTGTGACCATTTCTGTTTGAAAAATGTCCTCCATGTAATTTGTATCTTTAGAGTATATTCAATAAGCCTAATAAACAGTTATTTGTTTCTAAACTTCAATTCTCCTACTTTTCTGTTTATCTATTTAAAGTGTCTTTTCTTTATACTCACAGAAATTGATGAGTTTATGGTATGTTCTGTTTCAAAAACTAAACAAAAACTTGCTTTGGCATATGTAATCTTCATCTGTAGTTACTTCTCATGCACAATATGGAGATCAGGTTTCTGGTTTTTGTCCTGTTAAAAAAAAATTTGGCTCAGATACTAATGGAAAGAAACATATATCTGCATCGAATAAAGCTCTATCAGAAAAGTTTTTGTATTTTTACCCTAAAACATTTGTTTAAAAAACTTTCATGGCAAATTGCATCAATTCAGCACCTCTGCATGTGAGCGTTGTTGGAGAATTTGCCATAACAATATCAAAACAGTTCCGCTATTTACTTTTTTAGACATTCATTAGCTGCTAGTTACATTGTAACCTGTCGGTGTCAGTCAGAGCTAATTAGTACAGCAACTGCTGGAGATTTCCTCAAGCATGACCAATCATGGGTTGTTTGGTTCAACATATGGAAAATACTCTTAGTTTTTAATTTCAAAATGATAATTTAAGTGCAGTTTTGTCAGATTTTTATATTTTTATGAAACGATTAAAAAGATTGATGAGGATTTACAATTAAAGGGAAAACAAGGGATGATACAGACCGTATTAACCCTGATTTTGTGGAAAAGATGAGAAACAATCAGCTATAGAAGGACAAAAAATAAATTGTTTTTTGTATTAGATTTTGTAGACAGACATGATACCATGCCCAGCTTTTCAAAATGGAAAAATTGCAAAATAAAACATATAAGGAATAAAAGAATTTGAAGTTCAGAAATTTGTACTTTTTTTTTAGCAGAAATTGAGTATTCCAGTTTCTCTATTTAGTTTTTTTAAAATCTTCAAAGTCGAACTGTTACAGGTTGCATATTGAAATTTAATTGTTTAACATGAAATGAATAATTTCACAGGGGTCAGTGTTGGATGTTGGGGACATCAAAGATTAAATTAACTTGAATCAATTCACTATATAAGAAGACGAAGTAAGTCTTAAATCTGTAATATAGAGGTTATCCATTCAGTAATTTAAAAGTAGATATCTGTTAACTGTTAACACTACTAGCCACTGAGAATTGAACTTTGCCCTTTCAGCTGTAATCATGTTGACGTTTATTTTTTTCAGGTTTACCATGTTGTTCAGTGGCTTCTGATGAAGAATGTAGAAAGACGTGTGTAAAAACACTAATGACAATGAAAAATAATGAACAGATTGTAGCTGAACTAATTAAAACATGTGGACCTGCTTTACCTTATGTAAGTTAATGTAGAAACATTGAAAGAATAATTGAAAATACAACTCCCTTAGTGACATCACAAACTGACTCTTAACTCCCTTAGTGACATCACAAACTGACTCTTAACTCCCTTAGTGACATCACAAACTGACTCTTAACTCCCTTAGTGACATCACAAACTGACTCTTAACCCCCTTAGTGACATCACAAACTGACTCAACCCCCTTAGTGACATCACAAACTGACTCTCAACTCCTTTAGTGACATCACAAACTGACTCTCAACTCCTTTAGTGACATCACAAACTGACTCTCAACTCCCTTAGTGACATCACAAACTGACTCTCAACTCCCTTAGTGACATCACAAACTGACTCTCAACTCCCTTAGTGACATCACAAACTGACTCTGTGGATTCTCTATATTTCGTAGGGTACTAAATTTTCAATGATTGTGTGGGTTAATGTGAACCATAAATTTAAGTATTTAACAAACTACAAATTTCCTATAGGCTTCAAAACAGAACTGGTAAAAATGATAAATTTCAAGTATTCATGAAAAAACATGTTTTTCCTCAATCAACGAATTTAAATGAATCCACAGTACTACAAGCGTGGTGTATAAAAGTATTGAAGTTTTATTAAATGTTCAAAGATGATTTGTGGAAGGAAGTTCTTATTACCCATAACAAATGAGTGTAATTATTAGTAACTTTGTGATAGGGTGTTAGTAAAAAAAAAAATTATGTTTTAAGTTTAATAGTGCACAGAGAGATTGTGTTACATGATATAATAAACATAGGATCATGGAGTCCTGAAATAAATCAAATTGAGAGATGAGTGGAGACAAAATATGAATAATGTCATTTGTTACAGGTGCCTATCTGGGGATGTTTTCTATCTAACAACAGCCCTGACCCCCCAGTAGAACCTAAGATAATGGATGGATCTAGATTACATTGTTGCTCTAAAGCAGCTACAGAGAGATGTATGAACCTGTGTTCTAAGGTAACTATAGTTTGTCATCATTTATAGGGGCTTTTGGGGGAAATATATATAGTTGTTCATGTTAAGGATGTTTGCTACTTTGTTTCAAAATATCAAGCTTTTTAAAAGACTGTTATGAGTTGATAGTATTTAGATAAAGGAACTAAAAAAGCAGAAAAAAATGAAGATTCTGTGTGGTTGTTTTCGAAATAAAAGCCATTGAAAAATGGGCGGGAAATGATTCTCTCTAGATTTTTCATACATTTCACATTGACACCTTTTTTCTTTTAAAAACTATGAAAAAATAACAAGGATTTCATAGGATTTTCAAATGTGGCTTTTTCAACTAAATGTAATAAAATTATAAAAAGGAAAACGGGGGTTAGCGGGGAAAATTTGTAATGGTACTTCATGGATAAAACCAGAGGATTCTGAATATCTGGCAAAAATTCAAAAACAAGAGGAGCGAACATCCTTAATTAGAAATCAAAATAAACGAATTGCATCACAACAGAGTGCAAAAAATTGCAAGGTGTCTAGAACCTAAATGACAAGAGCATTTAAAAAATGTGTCAGAAAAATGAGCATTTTGGCACCTATCAGAACTGCATATTTTCTGAAAAAAATCATGGCAGAAATAAATTATAGTATTATTTGTATAGACCTACAAGCTATATATGCTGCCATTGAATAGATAAATCAACAAAAAGATGAGGTGCAGGTTAAATTAAAGGCTGAAGTAAATTTTCTAAAAGACCTAAATTGTGTTAGGTTTTAAATAAAAGATGTGAAGTAAATAAGACAACACACGAAAAAAGAAAAACGAGCATCTTAGATAACCTGTATGACAATAATGGCAATGAAATATTTACAATACCATCAGCCTTGTGAACTCAGTCATATAAAGACTGATCACATTTACCTTGTCAAATAAAGTCAGACTTATTGATATTATATCTCAGCTTCAAAGATTCCTATACATATTATACTACCATAAATAAACATACATAAATATTTTTCAGTAGTGAATTGTTTCTATGTATGGAATTATCTGATTACATAATGCATACTTATTGTACTAGTATGGATACAATAAAACTAGTGTTGAGGGTTAATGTTTAATAAAACTTCTACGCTATTGTAATAAATGTAGAGATTTTGTAAAATTAAATGTTTTATTACATCATCTGGGTGATAAGTTTAAAATTGAATTCATATTTCAATGTTTACACATACAAGCTAAGTTTGAGGGTCTACATGGACTTTAATTATTCAGATTTCTAATTAAAGCCAATGGGGATTTTTTTTCGTACAAAGCATGGATATGTGTAAGGGGGTTGGGAAAGCACACCAACTGAGCATTTAGAATATTGAATAAGTATGTGTAAAACTTTTCTACATAACCTAAGGTTAAGAACCACAAAGCAATTTCCCCCCTTGCTCTATTTTGCCAAACTATTTGAAAGTGAACTGCCCCTCCATCTTGAAAAGTTGAATAAATTCCATCAAGGACAACATCAACAGCAAAAAAAAAAGAAATTATAGAATAGAATGAAATCAATATGGAATAGAAAAATATCATAAACGTCATTACCAAAAAAAGTAAAATTGATTCAATAATGATAGAGAGGCTTGCTGATAAAATCTGTAATCACAGACAATATAGACAAAAATAGCCTGAATCATGGTAATGATGTAATATTTCATTAAATGTCAACTTGATTAGGTCATCCCAACTTAATGAAACATATTCGTATAAGATAGTTGGAAAGTAAAAGATAATCATTATAGATAAAAACAAAATGCTTCCAGGTTTAATGAGGATATACATATTTTTGTACTTATTGCAAGATGTTTAAGTATGAGAGATGTATTTTTTTGTGATGGAGAAATGGATATTGGAGTAAATGTGATGTAGTTCAATAATTGTCATTGTTATACTAACACATGTGGTATGTGGTGTAACAATCTTAATTGGTTGTATAATCAGTAGAAATGGAATGCACAGTATGTGGACAGTTGTGGGAAATTGTAAAACTTGTTTTACATTGTGTCAGGTTCAGTTATAACTTCTTGTCTAATTGGAGGTTTCAGTCTTTCTTCATTTACAAGCTATCTAAAGTCATTTTAGATTTGTCAATCTCATGTCAGTCTGCATTAAGAAGTAGCTGAACTTGCAAATTCAAGTAATTTCAGGCAAGTCAGTACCATAGTATAATCAAATTTATGTATGTATGATTGCACAATAGAGGGGAAGGGAGGTAAGCAGATGTAGAATGTGGGATTGAAGATATGGCAGGTATATAATGATTAGGGGAAGGTAGGCTATTTTTGCGACCAATTCCCTTTAAGGATGCACACCTCTTAGGAGCCAAAAATTTCTAGAATTAAACTTTTTTTCTTAACCTGATATTTGGGTTTATATGACTGTAAGAAAGTAATTGATGAAGAAAAAATCATATGGTGGTGAACTTCCTTTTTTGCTACGGCCATTTGAAAGTACCCCATTTTTAATGATTTTCCCATTTTGGGGCTATTTTCATGAAAAAAATTACGGTTTCACAATTAAACTTTTTTTCATACTTTCACTAAAGATGAAGTGGACCAATCTGAAAACATTTAACTAAAAAAAACTATAGGTTGGTTTTAATATTAGAAAGTTTTATAAAATTTTCTTGCTTTTTTGTGTCAAATTGACCATGCTGTCAATTTTGTGAATTTTGGATTTTTCTCTCTGTTTTTTTAACAGAAAGCATATTATTTCAACTCCATTGTTCTAAATGATTGAAAAAATACATATCTAAACATTTTGAAAAGAAAAAATTGATATGGAATGTACATATTTTGGTAAAATCATTTCTTTGTACCCCTCACCCATTTTCTCAATATTTTGGCTGATGACAGTGACCGGATTGGTTATAAAATTTGAAAATTTTATTTCTCAAAAATTACTCATTGTAAGTACACAATTTTTTCACAGAGTTTAGTTTGATTATAATTTTTTTTAAATTCATTAATATCTTCAACTTGTATCACATGTTTTAGAAATAATTCCAGAACGAGATTTCAACAAGACTGAAACATCAGAGGAATACATCCTTAATTTTTTTTTAAAAAGTATTATAACGTTAAAAATGTGCTAAATTCCATCACAAAAGTTTTAAACTAAGTCCCCTGCCCAAGTCTGGTAGCCCTTAGGTATATACTTTTGTCTGAAGACCAACTATTTAGTCTGGTAGCCCTTAGTAATATAATCATGTGCATTCATTGCACTGGAATTATTTTGCCTGAAGACCAACTATCTAATCTCTGTTGTAATCACCTGTATCCCTTGTTCTTTTCAAAACTTATCAAAATTGATTCTGAGGAAATACAAGTATATTGCTACATATTAACTTAAAGAACTCTCCTTTTTCTGGTCTTAGGAAATTGATTCTGGATTGTTATTAATATTTCAGTTATTGATAAACCAGTCTCAAATATAACTTATAGAAAGATGCAGATAGAGGATTATAACAGCCTCCTGTCAAAGGATGAGCACTCCAACCCAAATTAAATTATTATTTTATTTAAGTTTTTTAGTTCTACTCTCAGAATCTCTAGATTCAAACAACTTATTGTTAGTGTGCATCTACATGTAACAGAGCATTAAAGCTTCCAACCATTGATACTGCTTGTCTTATGGTAGTTTACTCATCAAATTAATGTGTCATGATCCTTTTGCCTTGTTAAAATTGGCTTGTAATAGTTGTTGCTTCATATTGAACATTAGTCCATTCATCTAATTGTTTACTAGAGTTTAGTTTTATGACTTAGTTCAGTTCTCTGAAGAAAAATAACACATTGTCATGATCAGAACAAGGAAACTAACTGACCTTCACTCAGTTCAATTACTGTATTGATGCATCCACACCACCATTAAAGTTCACTCTGGTCTACATTTATTGCTTTATTGACTTTGGGTTGAACTTAACATAATCTTAGAGTTTTGACCTTCAGCTCTGTGGAACCAAGTATGTAGATGCAATTTTTGGTTGATGATAGCTTCAATCCAATCAGCTATAGTCCATTCCTGTCCTTTAAGTATAAACTGATAGTGTTACATCCATATAAAGTTATATGACCATATAAGGTAGTGTTACATCCATATAAAGTTATATATGACCATATAAGGTATATAAAGTCTATAGTGAGAATAGAGAAAAGAATAATCATGGTTAAGTTTTTGTGGCTTGTGTATTATTGTTTATTTTTGTTATTTTTGATACTAGTTCCTAATTCTTTCCTTTATCATACAGACTTTTAACACAGAGTGGTACAGCACTTGGAGAGATTTTAACTCCAGATGCCAAGACTTGTCTCTACCAGTATCTATGACTGAAGCAGCCATGCTAAACTGTCTAGATGAAGGTAAGTTATAAGCTGTTTTTCACAGAATTAAAGACCATGAAAATTTAATAAAAATTATTATTGTCCTTATATTTTTTGGTTGTGGATCTAAATTGAAATAGTTGTACATTGGATAATTGCTGATGGAGATTGCATATTAATTATTATTTTGGTTGATTGTTTTATTGAGGACTCTCTTTGACTACAGTTTCTTAGTAAAATTCTGTAATGTAAGAAATAAAACTGATGATTTAACTCAATGGTTTACAAATTTCTTTTTATTTTATTTAAATTATCATCATTATTTTTTCAGTGGAAGAACCATGTAAGCTTGGTTGTAGCGGCCTTAAATTTTGTAAAAGTTTCAACTTCCGTCCAACCCAACCTTTCAGGAGTTGTAATGCCCAGGCTGACTCTGCAGCTGAGAAAGAAATCATAGAATGGGAAAAAGGCAATTTGAGACTTCCACAAATGATCATTCCAGTGAAAGGTACAAGAGTTCATAATGTGATACTTGTAGTTTTAAAGGAGCTTTGTATTAAGTTTTAGGACCATCATTTGAAGAACTAAATTGAAAATTGGGAAATAAACCACAGAATTTTCTTATGCCTACAATTTGAGATTTAATACTCTTAAACTGTGGGTTGCTAATGAAGCATACTGTGGGTTTATTTTATTACTAGCATTACTGTTTTTTATAATCTTTTGAGCAAGATTTTTTCTGTCTGAACCATAATACGATGCATGATTCCTTGGTTACCACTGTATCTGGAAACTTTTCTCTGAAGATGTGTTAGATATGTAAAATAATGTATTCTCAGAAAATGTATCAGCACCTTTATTGTAATTCAAACTAGGTTGACTGTATGATGGGGTTTGATATCTTTCTATATGTTTGTTATGGCAATTACTTTTTCTAATGAAGGCAACTTTGATGATATACCCTCTGTGAAAGGATGCTGGCCCAATGAAATACTGAGATGATAGACATCCATCATTATTGGAATTTAATATTTTCTTTAAATCTAACATTTCCTTTAGTAATACACATTATCATCAGATGTATACAACAAATGTTTTATATTTATCTCTGCCATAAGATGGTTTTTGTGATTTTAAACATAATTCTAATTATTTTTCAGACATTCGAGAATGTGAGCCAGAGATTTGGAAAGCTATAGCTTGTGCCCTCCATACTAAACCCTGTCACAAAAAGCCTTCACATCTTCCTCTATGCAGGTTCGTTCATTACAATGTTTGCTACAAGTCAGAGTCAGTTTGCAGAATAGTAATGAAAATAAATTGTCAAACTCTTATATGAACATACCAACAAAGTTAGAATATCACAAAAAATAAATTATGGCAAAGTCAGCTGAAGGGGATAAACATGAAACTATTCCCTGAAGCTGTAGGGGATAAACATGAAAACTCTTCCCTGAAGCTAATTTGGTATGTGTACAGTGTCTGGATAAATTAAAATTTTGAAATATGACAAATGAGAAAAGAGTGATTCATAACATTAAATTGGAATGGTTAATACCACCATCGTTTTTCCCTATTAGTCTTTGTTAAATTGCCATTTTTTTTTAAATTGTGCAAAATTTATCCTAGTTTCAAATGAATGAATATTTGGCATGAATAAAGTTTTATCCTGTCCAGTACTACAGTCAAAATTTCATTGCATATAAGAAAATAACCATCACCAGAAGTAAACCAAGCAACTTTTCACCCTTTTTTCCCTGTGTACAAGCTTAAGTAACCAAGCTTTAGTAACCAGTTATTTTATTGGAACACCAAGTAGAAAAAAGAAAAGTGCTTTGAATCGCCCAAGATATTTGTTAATGACTCCGAATTTCTTTTTCTGCAATTAAATGCAGGGTTAATTTCCTGAATCTGTCAAATTAAAGGAATATTTTTGTTTCTATCCTTTTTTAACAAGAGACCAGATGTTACATACTATGTTTTGGTGGTATTACACCTATACAGTAAATGGACATTTTAGTTTAAATATGACTCTATATACAAATATACATTTATAGTCTACATTTCCTGTAGAAATAAACATTTCAGGAGACAGCCTTCCATGGGATCACAATATTGGACAGCAACTGGAAATAAAAATCAGAACTATCATTATATTTTTTTAATTATACCAAATAGTTATACAAGATTATTAGCTAAGATTAATTTTATTTTATCTATGCTTTTCACACAGTTTCCAAGTAGACACATGTAAATGCTCATTTAAATAAAAAATACTTTGTTAATTATTTTTTTAACATTCAGAAAAAATGCTATAAAATCCTATTGAATTGGGTCTAAATAAATTTTATTTTAAATGCATATTTAAACCCTGGAGGGTTGGTTGGTTGTATATTATACTTCAACAAACAAAAATACAAAACAAATTAATTGAGATATGCAAATATTAGAACTATGTTAATTAAATATGGTGTTTTAACCTTTAAAGTTAACCAGTATGCATAAAACATGTGTTTGTTATCATCTACCTAAAACTGATATTCTAGGGAGAACACATGGGTTATTTCCCTTGTGATAAGTTTAAAGAGGGTAACACTAGGGTTTCCCTCAAAGTATATTGTAGAATAATGAAAGTCAATTCACTAAGAAAGTATACCGAAATATGATATATTATATTTGTAGAAATGAATGTATGTATATATTAAACAAATGTGTAGACCATAGCAGATTACAGAAAGGACAGACTGTCCAACATCTGTGTAACAAACTATCAGCTGATGAAACACCTGGATCATGTATATCACTCATGCCATATATAAGTAAGTTCATATTCAATAGATTTGTCTACACAGCGGCAAAATTGTGCAGTCCTTTATTGATAGGTTGCTGTTGTTAAACATAAATACTAAGTTACTTTGCAGCAATTTTGGAACTTTTACAGATCACAGAAAGACTTTGACACATTTTTTAACTATTAAAATGACATTTGTTTTTGAAGAATGGGATTGTAGACCCGTCAGCTGGTTTTTTTGCCCCACCTAGGATCATTATGTTTTTCGGTCTGTGCATCTGTTCGTTCGTCCGTCCATTCGTCCGTCTGTCCCTCTTCAGGTTAAAGTTTTTGGTCAAGGTAGTTTTTGATAAAGTTGAAGTCTGATCAACTTGAAACTTAGTACACATGTTCCCTTAGATATGATCTTTCTAATGTTAATGCCAAATTAGAGTTTTGACCCCAATTTCACGGTCCACTGAACATAGAAAATGATAGTGCGAGTGGGGCATCCATGTACTATGGACACATTCTTGTTTAATAGACAAATTAGAGACAGAGTTTTAAAAAATCACTATATGCAAGAATAGATCTGATCCAGCATTTTGTTCATAGCTAAACAGAAATTGCTTTGTTCAGTTCTTTGTGGTTGTTATTTGAGTTGAAATTTATCTTGGTTTCATTTATTTCATCATTTAAGTCAAGTATACCACCCAAAGAAGTGCATACATTTTGGTCTGTCATATTCCTGTGAATGTAGAATTTATGAAATTGTAATACACAAAAATGAATCAAGATATTTTGATAGAAAAAGATACAAAGGGGGCAATCTAAAACCATAAGTTAAAGAAAAAACAGACAACACCTTGGCAAAAAAAAAGAACAATTAGACAAATAACAGTCTACTAAACACTACAATGAGACTTAAAGATTTAGTGGTACTGACCAAACTAAACACTACAGTGAGACTTAAAGATTTAGTGGTACTGACCAAACAAAACACTACAGTGAGACTTAAAGATTTAGTGGTACTGACCAAACAAAACACTACAGTGAGACTTAAAGATTTAGTGGTACTGACCAAGCAAAAAAACCTAGACTAGTTGCATTAGAGAATTAAATTTAGCTTGAGTAAACAGATCTATCCTCACAGGCTTTTAATGCATAACTTTGTAACTTTGTCTGTACCATGCCATACTCATAGCTCTTTATTTAAACACATACTCTTTAATTTAATGCATTCTATTTTATTATGTTTTCGTGTATTAATTGTAGTTTCATGGATAATTTTCAAGTAAATTACAAAATTACAAAATGACTAGATACCCATGATAGATTTTATAACAAAGGTATTTAAAAAATATAAATTATTAGAAAAGGCTTATTGTAATGTGAATTCTAGTGAAACACTGATAGCAATCATTAAAATTATATTGAATTATTTTGCTATAAAATATTGTGGTAGGCAGATCATTTTGTATTATTAATATCTAATCAATACAATATGATTTGTAAAATTATGGTGATGAAATATTTATAAAATGGTGAATTTATAAAATTGAGAATGGAAATGGGGAATGTGTCAAAGAGACAACAACCCGACCGAAGAGCAGAAAACAGCCGAAGGCCACCAATGGGTCTTTCATAGCAATACATATTTGCTGTATTAAGCAGAATAAATGTAAAATTGAATGCAATATAGATATATGCAGACAAAATTAATGTCTAATATTATTTTGATTGTAGCAGATCCTGCTCCAAAGATTAATCTACAGGAAGTAACAACCCCGTGTAACCCTAACCCTTGTCCTGAAGAAGAAACCTGTTGGGTGAATAGGAGGAAATGTCGACATCCAGAAAGTTGTTCACCTTACGTCTGTCATAAAGGTCTGTGGTATAAATAGAAATTGTCTCACTATCAAATTTACAGAAGTAAAACTATCAAGTTAAATTGATTTTTTTTAATGCAGTTCAAAAATAGTCAACATGTTTATTTCTTAAATAAATATCACAACTATAGTATAGTATAAAATAAGATACAACCGTTTGAATATGAACATTAAATAAATAAATTGTGACAATTAGAATGACATATGTATATTTGACAACTGAAACAAAATTCTAGATTTAAAAAAAAATTTTTGTTGCTATTATATGCAGATGTATGAGAAAACTAAGCATAGCCCAGTTCAAAACAAATCTTGAGAAAAGTTATGGGGAGTCGCTGTATTTAAAAAATAATTAAAAACTGGAATATAAGAACTGCATATGACTTATACTATAAATGAATACTTGATTGCTATTTCAGCTTGTAGAATGGGAGATATATCAAGTGTACTGGTACCTCGTCATTCCTATGTCAGAATACCATTGTATGTTGAGGGACAGGCAAATGTTAGATGTTTTGAACATCAAGTTTGTGTTTGTGGTCAACAGAACTACCTACATAGATGTAAAACTATACCATGCTTCAGAAGAGAGAGCTGTGTCCTTGGTCAGACTTCTGTTATAAAAGGTAAGTTTCAGTGATACTTTGATAAACCCAGGATCTACATTGTTTGTCATTTACACAGGTATAAACCCAGGATCTACATTGTTTGTCATTTACACAGGTATAAACCCAGGATCTACATTGTTTGTCATTTACACAGGTATAAACCCAGGATCTACATTGTTTGTCATTTACACCGGTATAATTACAAATAATGAATGAATATTTAAAGAGAAAACTTTTCATATGATACAGATTTAAATCATTATAAGCAAATTATACATTTTTTCAGTACACATGACACCTGTTTCTGGAATAAACCATTAGATACATTCAAGACCAAAAGTTTGACAAACTCAACACATAAATCATTTAAGATGATGAAATACATTCCTAATCAAAACAGCCAAAACTAAAAATGTCTTAATCAACAATTCAAGAAAATGGACATTTAATACATATTTTGTTACATAGATATAAAATATTTATATTTCAGAGCATGGTTCACAATTTAAGCTTGATTGTAACCATTGTATTTGTAACGAAGGGGAGGTAATATGTACCAAGCATAAATGTCCATCCTCAGAAACAAATGTTCGATGGAGGGATCTGCCTTGTGAATGTTCTAGAGATTATCAACCTAGATGTGGACATAATGGCAAGACCTATCCTAATCCTTGTCTGGCTGAAAGGTGAATAAATGAAAAAAAAATCTTTTCAAAGAAGGACACCATAAATATCAATTTATATTTCCTGATTAATACATGATCTTCCAACTGGTGCTTTTTCCTGTAAAAAAGTTGTTATCACACAGCAGATACTTTTACGTCACAATGTCCTTTTATGCATTTTCCCTGAATTACCCCAGGTCAACTGAGGTAGTTCATTCATAAAATCGAAATTGAAGTCTGCTTACTGATGTTATAATTGTTTAAACTTATTTACAGATACAATGTTTATCTACAAACAGCAACATTCAGCTGCATCAATAACACATTCAAGTTACAAATCAAAAATCTCTAATTTTCTTAAATTTTGTTTATAATGAAAATATGATGCAAGTATTATTATTAATTTAGATTATAAAACTTTTTATACTGTATTCTGGCTTTCTTATAAATACACAAGTGAAAAAGAAAGTAAATTATAAAAAGCATTTATAAATGGAATGAATGTAGAGAGAAGAAAAGAAAAGAAATTTAAGTCACATGATTTTAGCTAATGAAAAATTGCTGTTTCTATTTATTAATTGTTCACATAACTATTTATTGACTAGATGTGGAAGATTGAAAAAGAATGAGTTAAGAGAAGGTTCTTGTTATTCCTTTGATGATTGTCAAGATAATCCATGTGGTGACAATTACAGGTAAGAGGAAAACAGATTTCATACTTTCAAATTCCCCTACAGGTATGAGTAAGACCAAATGATTTCATGGTTCCCCGGCCTGCCCATTAAATAAAGGAAGATTATGACTAAAAAAAGGAATTGGTATTGATAAAACTTTGTAAATTTATAAAGAATATCAACATTGGTATATGTGCTCCTGACTAAAATTGTATTTCCTATATTATATAAGCAATTTTTTGTTCTGTTTTATCATAAATATTGTACATAAATGTCTTCTCTTTACCTATGACAAGGGTCCTGACTTTTTTTAGTGCAATTTCGGTAATTATTTGGGGGGACTAGAAATCTTTTGATTTCAAACTGTTAAATTTCGTATCTTGTTTTTATACGACCGCAAAAAAATTTTGTGGTCGTATATTGGTATGACGTTGGCGTCGTCGTCGTCCGGCGTCGTCGTCCGAATACATATTGGTTTTCGCACTCTAACTTTAGTTTAAGTGAATGGATCTTTTTGAAATTTGACCATAAGGTTAAATACCACAAAAGGAAGGTTGGGATTGATTTTGGGGGTTATGGTACCAACAGTTAAGGAATTAGGGGCCAAAAAGGGGCCAAAAATGAGCATTTTCTAGTTTCCAGACAATAACTGTGGAACGGTGTATGGATCTCTCTGAAATTATACTACAAGTTTCCATACCACAAAGGGATGGTTAGGATTTGCTTTGGGGGGTTATGGCTCAAACTGTTTAGGAATTAGGGGCAAAAAAGGGGGAAAAACAAGGTTGTCCTGGTTAATGGACAAATACTTTAGTACAAAACATAATTTAAAGCAGTGTAAGGGAGATAAATCAAATACATCATTGAAATTATCTCCCTTACACTGCTTTTAAATTATGTATAAAGTAATGGTTAATGAACAATAAAGATAATCTAAAACAGTGTAAGGGAGGTAATCCAAATACAATGTTTTGGTTACTTCCCTTACACTGCTTTTAAATTATGTTTAAAGAAATGCATATTTATAAAGGAAGACCAGTAAAAATATCTGCAAATGTTTTCATCTTTTTTTTTTACAAAAAAATCCATATGAAAGATTTGACACTATATTTTTATTAATTCTATTATAAAATAGATTAAGTTAGCACTATGGTAAATTTAAATGGGTAATTATGGTTGCCAACTCCATTGGAAATTTGAATTGAGATTATGACCATTTCTTGAGGGAAAGAATTTTTTTGGGGGAAAAAGGGGGGGGGGATAAAAAGAAATTGTTGGGGGCCAATTTTTTCTCATTTCAGATTTCAGAAATTAAAAAGAATTATTCTTCAAATATTATTTTTTTTTCAAATTTCAAATATTGAAAAATTTCAAGAAGTAATCTTTGATTGCACAGTATGGCGCATTAGATTTGTAAAATCTTTGATCACATTTATTTATTTGTTATGCCGAATCTAACAGTGTATTTAGATTTTTAATTTTGGGTCCAGTTTTCAAATTGGTCTACATTAATGTCCAAAGGGTCCAAAATTAAACTTTGTTTGATTTTAGCAAAAATTGAATATCTTTGATATGCTGAATCTAAACATGTATTTAGATTTTTGATTTTTGGCCCAGTTTTCAAGTTGGTCCAAATTGGGGTCCAAAATTAAACTTTGTTTGATTTCAACAAAAATTGAATATATGGGGTTCTTTGATATGCTGAATCTAACCATGTATTTAGATTTTTTATTTGTGGACCCCGTTATCTAATTGGTTCATATTGAGGTCAAAAGGGTCCAAAATTAAACTTTGTTTGATTTCATCTAAAATTGAATTATTGGGGTTCTTTGATATTCCAAATCTAACCGTGTATTTAGGTTTTTAATTTTGGGTCCTGTTTTTTAAATTGGTCTACATTGAGGTCCAAAGGGTCCAAAATTAAACTTAGTTTGATTTTGACAAAAATTGAATTCTTGGGGTTCTTTGATTTGCTGAATCTAAACATGTGTTTAGATTTTTGATTATGGGCCCAGTTTTCAAGTTGGTCCAAGATAGGGTCCAGTATTTAAACTTTGTTTGATTTCAACAAAAATTGAATATATGGGGTTCTTTGATATGCTGAATCTAAACATGTATTTAGATTTTTGATTATGGACCCAGTTTTCAAGTTGGTCCAAATTGGGGTCCAAAATTAAACTTTGTTTGATTTCAACAAAAATTGAATATATGAGGTTCTTTGATATGCTGAATCTAACCATGTATTTAGATTTTTTATTTGTAGGCCCCGCTATCAAATTGGTTCATATTGAGGTCAAAAGGGTCCAAAATTAAACTTTGTTTGATTTCATCGAAAATTGAATTATTGGGGTTCTTTGATATGCCAAATCTAACCGTGTTTTTAGATTTTTAATTTGGGTCCCGTTTTTTAAATTGGTCTTCATTGAGGTCAAAAGGGTCCAAAATTAAACTTAGTTTGATTTTAACAAAAATTGAATTCTTGGGGTTCTTTGATATGCTGAATCTAAACATGTGTTTAGATTTTTGATTATGGGCCCAGTTTTCAAGTTGGTCCAAGTTGGGGTCCAAAATTAAACTTTTTTTGATTTCAACAAAAATTGAATATATGGTGTTCTTTGATATGCTGAATCTAACCATGAATTTAGATTTTTTATTTGTGGGCCCTGCTATCAAATTGGTTCATATTGAGGTCAAAAGGGTCCAAAATTAAACTTTGTTTGATTTCATCAAAAATTGAATTATTGGGGTTCTTTGATATTCCAAATCTAACCGTGTATTTAGATTTTTAAGTCCCGTTTTTTTAAATTGGTCTACATTAAGGTCCAAAGGGTCCAAAATTAAACTTAGTTTGATTTTAGCAAAAATTGAATTCTTGGGGTTCTTTGATATGCTGAATCTAAACATGTGTTTAGATTTTTGATTATGGACCCAGTTTTCAAGTTTGTCCAAGTTGGGGTCCAAAATTAAACTTTGTTTGATTTTAACAAAAATTGAATATATGGGGTTCTTTGATATGCTGAATCTAACCATGTATTTTGATTTTGGACATTGGACCATAATAGGTAAATTAAAAAAATTCAAGTTCTTAGACCACATTCTTTCTGTGTCAGAAACCTATGCTGTGTCAAATATTTAATAACAATCCAAATTCAGAGCTGTATCAAGCTTGAATGTTGTGTCCATACTTGCCCCAACTGTTCAGGGTTCGACCTCTGCGGTCGTATCAAGCTGCGCCCCAGCGAAGCATTTTATTGTAAAAGTGTTCAAGAATAATATGTGGAATGCAAGTTTGATACTGCAATGATTTTAATGACTTAAAGCTGCAAATTTCGTAGGAATTAAATATGCTAATTTCATTTTTGAGAAATAGAAAGTTTTCAATCTGATTATAAATTACAAATGAAATGGAATTTACGATACCGATTTTTGTGATTAACACTAGTTTACTGCTTTTTATAGGTGCTTACCCAAGAGACAAGTTTGTCTTAGTATTAATTATGAAAGCTGCCCCCAGTATGAATGTGGTAAGTTTATTTAAAAAGTACAAATTATACTGAGCATCAACAGAAGTACACACTAATTCTTCAAAGTTAAAGTTAAGATGCCAGAAATTTTAAAGTTGTGAACGAATTAGTAATTTTAACAGTGTTTTGACATCAAGAACACTAAAGTCTGTCAAATTGAACAGTGTTGCTTACAAAAATAGAAGAAAACAAGTTTTGTACTCTTAAAAAAAAATAAAATTGAAACATAAAGTTTTGGTTAGCTGTTCTAAACAGTAGAAGAGGGATCGGTTTTTCTCCCAGCTTCTTTTCTACACATTGTTACAATAAATATTCCTAATAATTTATATAAATGTTTTAATTACAGTTCCATTACATGAGAAATGTGACCATCATTACCATGACCCAGTATGTGATATTACAGGACAAGAATATACCAACCCTTGTCTACTGTTACAACATAAACGAACCCTCCATTACAGGGGACATTGTCAGGTAGTAATAACAGCAAAGTATTTTAGTTACAGTAAAGTTTTCAGTATATATGTAGTACAGGTATTTGTAGTTATTCAGATATCAACAAATACCATCTGAAAGTTAACCTAGTGACCTTTGACAATGAACATAAACATCCCAAGGAAAATCATTTATAATTATTACAATTGTATCAGTATGTTCAAGTTAGTTTATTTTTATATACCAAAGTTAAAAAAATATTTTATGGATTTTCCTGTATTTGCAAGCACTTATGCATTTGGTGAAATGTCAGATCTAAGCAGGTTTAAAATTAACTATAGTGAGTATGTCAGAACAATGTTGTATATTATAGTGGCTACTTCAGTGTTGGAAGTATCTAATATGGTTAAAACCTGATATCATAATCTGATTACCATTGACTGCTATTGTAGAGTGACTGTTCTACCTCAGAACCAGTATGTGGACACAACGGAGAAACTTACCCACATGAATGTGCAGCATTAGCCGCCAGAACTACTATTGATTATTATGGTGAATGTAGAGTCATTGGTCAATATATGGGTAAGTACTAATGCATAGTTGTAGGACATTGGAAACATTTTTATGCCCCAGCTGCCAGGCAAAGGGGGCATTAAGTGTTACCCTTGTCCGTCCATACGTCCTAAAATTGGTTTCTGTTCTATTAACTTTAGTTTGACTCAACCAAATGTTATGAAACTTGTACACAATGCTTATTACCATAAAAAACAGATCAAACTCGAATTTGGATGGTGTCTCTTTTTAACATTATATGCAAGTGGGGGCATCATCTGTGTCCCATGGACACATTCTCCATTTATTTTTAAAGCTTTAGAAATGAAATTAGTTTTACTCCATAGAATAAAAATATTGGATTCCAAATGTCCATTCCTGGATCTGTCTGTCATTTACAACAATTTTTGTTTCATTTATCTCAGTAAATACAAGGCATAACCTTGTGATATATAGTAATAAGCTTCATCTGGTTTTGCCATACAATGTGACATTTTTATGCCCCCGCTGTAGCGGAGGGGGCATTAAGTTTTACCCTTGTCCGTCTGTACGTACATACGTACGTACGTAGGTACGTCCCAAAATTGGTTTCTGTTCTCTAACTTTAGTTTGCCTCAACCAAATGTTATGAAACTTATACACAATGCTTATTACCACAAAACACAGATCAAGTTTGAATTTTGGTGGTGTCACTTTTACTGTTCTAGAGTTATGCCCCTTTACAAATGGAAAATTGCTGAATTTATCGTTTCCGTTCTCTAACTTTAGTTTGCCTCAACCAAATGTTATGAAACTTATACACAATGCTTATTACCACAAAACACAGATCAAGTTTGAATTTTGATGGCGTCACTTTTACTGTTCTAGAGTTATGCTCCTTTAAAAATGGAAAATTGCTGAATTTATTGTTTCCGTTCTCTAACTTTAGTTTGCCTCAACCAAATGTTATGAAACTTATACACAATGCTTATTACCACAAAACACAGATCAAGTTTGAATTTTGGTGGCATCACTTTAACCGTTCTAGAGTTATGCCCCTTTACAAATGGAAAAATTGCTGAATTTTTTGTTTCCGTTCTCGAATTTTATAGTTGAATCAACTACAATCAATGCTTTATACAATGCAATGTTTAATTTTGACTTCCACTGATAAAACACAGATCAAGTTGAATTTGGGTAGTGTCACTTTAATCATTATTGAGTTATGCCCCTTTATAAATTGAAAGATTGCCAAATTTTTAGTTTCCATTCTGTAACTTAAGTTTGCCCCAACCAAACATTATGAAACCTATACACAATATATATTCATTACCACAAAACTAAGATCAAGTACAAATTTTTTGTTTCCGTTTTCTAACTTTAGTTTGCCTCAACCAAATGTTATGAAACTTACAATGTATACACAATGCTTATTACTACATAATACAGATTAAGTACGAAATTTGGTGGCAACACTTTTACCATTCTTGAGTTAGTTCAGTTCCTTTTACATTCTTGTGTTTGATTTTAAAAACAAATATTCTGAAAAATATTTTGCACATATATGAGATTTGAATCACATTTTTCTACAACACAACATTCTTAATATATACATGGGTATAACATAGAAGAAATAGATCACAGTACATCATGGTTTACTTACATTGAATGTTTTATATGTATATGAGCCAAGGCTTTACCAGTTTCAAAGATGTTTTAGGGGTAATCAATTTTTTGATAAGGCCTTGGCTCAGGTCTAATTTTATTTAAAAAACAATGATTAAAATCCAAATTTAAGGTCAAATGTGACATATTTATGTCATCACAAGTGACTTTCTGCAATCCATTAACATAGTTTTGAAAGGCTTAAAGAAATTAGCAAAATTTATAATTCAGGAATCAAATTATGGTTCTTATCATACCTCCTACATTTATGATCGATATACAATTACATATTTCACAGTGTAAAGAAGAACAATGACAAGAGTATCATTTCTAATTAAAGGTAATGTTTCCAAGACAACAGATTGTTCAGATGTCAAGTGTGTACCTGTAAAACCAGCTAATTGTCGGCCAATAATCCCACCAGGGGGCTGTTGTTCTGTATGTGGTAAGTGTAATATAACTGATGTTATGGTTTCTCACAGGCAAAACACACACTTATCCTTACACACATATACCTATAAAACCTCAAACTGTTAGGTCCTTAATGGACTACTGCGGATTCATTTAATTTCGTGGTTTTGTCGGAAGTCTGCATACAAGCTTATATAAAATATGTCATTCGTTGAACTTTTAATTTCGTGGTTTTGTCGGAAGTCTGCATACAAGCTTATATAATATATATCATTCGTTGAACTTTTAATTTCGTGGTTTTGTCGGAAGTCTGCGTACAAGCTTATATAAAATATGTCATTCGTTGAACTTTTAATTTCGTGGTTTTGTCGGAAGTCTGCGTACAAGCTTATATAAGATATGTCATTCGTTGAACTTTTAATTTCGTGGTTTTGTCGGAAGTCTGCGTACAAGCTTATATAAGATATGTCATTCGTTGAACTTTTAATTTCGTGGTTTTGTCGGAAGTCTGCGTACAAGCTTATATAAAATATGTCATTCGTTGAACTTTTAATTTCGTGGTTTTGTCGGAAGTCTGCGTACAAGCTTATATAAAATATGTCATTCGTTGAACTTTTAATTTCGTGGTTTGTCGGAAGTCTGCGTACAAGCTTATATAAAATATGTCATTCGTTGAACTTTTAATTTCGTGGTTTTGTCGGAAGTCTGAGTACAAGCTTATATAAAATATGTCATTCGTTGAACATTTAATTTTGTGGTTTTGTCGGAAGTCTGAGTACAAGCATATATAAAATATGTCATTCATTGAACATTTAATTTAGTGGTTCACTTGTATTCACGTAATCCACGAAAATTGGTATTCAAGGAATAATAATGAATCCACAGTATTGTATTGTTTTTTTTTTGGTTACATGAGCATTATGAAATTATTGCATTTACAGAAGTATTCTAATTTTTATGCAAATAAAAAGAGTATTTACTAATTAGTTAAATTTACATTCTAAAATAAAATAAGAAAGTGAAGGAAAATGATAGATCTTGTATCCTTTCTTTGTAGCTGCTGAATTACGCATGTTGTACAGTGTAAATATGGTTGATGTTATGACAACATCAAGGCCCTCTGGACCAATCACCGTCAGCAGCATTTTAGACGTTCTCTCACAGCAGCTAATGGTGAGGGAATGTGATGTCTTTGGCTACCTCAATGTAGAAACAGACCTAGTGGTCTTAGTTAAACCTGTAACTGCCTCACCTACTCTATTACAGGTATAGTCTTACATTCTTTATTATTTTAACATTTGATAATTGTTGTATGCTTAATGTCCAGTGTCATATATTTTATGAGAAGTGCAGACACAATTTAGAAAATATTTAAATGACATTAAGATAACAGTTTATGTTATTAGCATCAGGATATTGATATACAAAGGATGACCTTTGATAATTTATAAATGTTTTTTACATCTTCAATACACATCTATCTGTCTTTGGTAAACAGACTATCATAGAATCATAGCGAACACTTTCTGCATATTTATTCAAATTAACTTATTTTATACTGTATTTGTCAATATTGAGTTAAAGTTACTAAATGTACCTTTTTAACTTTATTATTGATATGTTTGAGATTGTCTGTATACTGTGGATTCATTGTTTTTCATGGAGTACTTATTTTCATGAATTTTAATGGGAATGTATGTGTACAACAAAAAACAAATTCCCTATAGGCTTGTATGCAGAATTAACAAAAGCCATAAAAACAAGTATCCACATTTTCCGAAATCCATGAATGTTATTACCCACAAAAATTAAATAAATCCACATTATTTATTTACTTTAGTATTTTGAATCAGTGTTGTTTGATATTGTTTTATTAATTTTCTTAATATCTTCAATTATTTTCAGCTTGAAGCTTGCATTAAAGAGACAGAAAGAATAGAATACCTCATTCAAAATGACAGTCCATTGTTAAAATCACATGTAACAATGACACCATTGCTATTAGCAACACTACGAACTCCTGGAACAGCCCTTTCTAGGGCAGGTGCTCTGTCAGGAGGAGCTGGTGCTCCATATCAATCTGTTTTACTAACAGCATTACTTGTGATAGCATTAGTCAGACTGACGTTTTTGTGATAAATACTTAATTATAAGCATTAAAATTACAAAGAATCTCATATGAGGCTTGTGGTAGCCATAATGAAGTTACAAAAGTTATAAATAGTTGTGACTTGTTTCAGAAGATTTAAGAGATTGGAATAACGTACCATTTTTAAAGGACTGAATGACTAGACCATAATTTTCAGTAATTTTAGCCATCGCTTTCAAAATTTGTACAAAAATAAAAGTCAACTGGTCAGCATTGCTTTATACCAACTGAAGATCCTGCCACCTTATTGGTATGTGTTTTGGAACCAGTTTGAAGCTACTGTTTTTATCACTGCTTTATGGCTGAATTTTAGTTATTTTATGTTGTTGTTGGTTCGAAGAAGCTGGTATTTCTATTTAAGATTTTATGAAGTATTGTTGTTACGTAAAGTTTCTACAATTTTCTGTTTTTTTTTTGCTTTTATTTTGTTAAATATTGTTATTATTAAACATATACTTAAAGTCAGGTGCTACAATGATAACGGTTACAATTCTATAAACTATGACTGATACATTGATATACAAAATAAATATACTTATGTAATGAAAATATGCATTGATTTTGCAAGTTAGTCCTTTGAAATTAAATTAAGGCACCTAAAGTTAGATTAAAATATGAAGACCTCTATACTGACAAGCATTCAAACAGTATTTATATTGAAAGTCATAGATTTCAGGGAAATTGTCAAAATAGAAGTTAAAGCTGTTCTGAGTGGGGAAAACTTTCTGGTTCAAGTACATGCACTTAGTCAATATTTGGTAAATTTGAGACAAACTTGCATTCACTGTAAAACTATATTACTTTGTTATTTACTCCATGTATCATATATTGAAATTGTCATAAAAGTGTGTCATAAGCATCTACTCTATGTCTCGTTTAAATAGAAATATCGGAATTTATAAGGATATTAAATCTGTTAGATAGGTTGTTTCATATTAGTCCTACAAATCAAATAGAATCCTATTTATTAATGTAAAACATCTTTTCTAAAAATAAAACAATTTAACTTCACAAGTTTTCCATGATATAGATATCTTTTTTGTTTGATACTACTAGACTTCATTGCTAACACATGTTAAATCATATTTTTCTGTCATATTTTTTTCAAATACGTATTTTCTACTGGTGCTAATCAATCCTGTTGAAATTGTAAGTCGTGTTATATATGAAAACCTATTAAAGTACCAGCTCCTTGATTGTCAAAATTGAAGATTAAGGACTTTTTAACAAGTTTGTTATTTATTATTTTAGAGCCATCAGTATATTTTTATTTGAAATGTTGCCCTTATAGTTATTCTTTTCTTTGGTCAACACATTGGATGCTAATTGAATAGGTGGGCTTATTTTTATGGATAACAAATCTAGATTGTAGTTGTTGACATATACATGTGATTTTATAATACTCCTCAGAAAATGTGAAAGTTCATACTGTCTTTAGTTTGATAAACTCTATTAATTCATTTATCGCCAAAACTGGTAATTATTTGAAGAGATTTACATATGCCATTGCAAAATTGACATGGGAATTTAATTTATTTGTTTGAATTTCTAATTAGTTTAATTTGAGTGCCACTGAAGTTTTAAAACTTGCTTCTTGTGTACTATTAAAATTATTATTCTTGTGTCTGGGTTTTTTTAATATATTTTTAAATGGCATAATCTATAAATTGCTTTTTACCTCTGGTATAATTTACCACAGAGGGGTAGCAATCAATAAATCCTAAGGAAAGACATACAGCTCAATGGCAAAAGGAAAATGGTAAATACACAAAACTAGTGACATAACTCCAAAATCTTATTGAAACTAATTGTAAAAATTGAATTGAAATTTGACACTATACATAATGTTTTCATTTTTTAAAATGCTGATAGAAAACTTTGTCTATTTTCTGTCTCTTAACATAGCAATTTTTCACTTACTACACTGTTCTTTTGCTGTATGAAACATTATGATAGCAAAATACCTGCTTCTGTTTTTACAGAGGGATATCTTTACCCACCAGAATCAACTTATGTACTACCATTTAATCTCATTAGCATGTCGGTTTAGTGTATCTTGTTATGTTTATTTATTATGTTTTATTGTCATTTATCTGAAATAAACAGCATTTTAAAAGATGGTTACCAAATATTTATATGTAAATATATTTAATATGATTAATGCATTATAAATGCAAGTAAAGTATATTTGTGTTTATATAATGAATTGTAAAATGGCATTTTATTGTATGTTTATATGTTCTACTTGGTAAATGATTTTACTTTTAATAACAATACAGAAACATTGTTCAGATACAATTAAACGTCTGCATCTCCTAGCTAACAGTTTTTGTCTCATACAATTTGTGTGTCTGCAAATATGGGTTAACTAAGAATTATTTTTAAGTCAATGCTGTGTTTGTACAGTTCTATGATAATCAAACCTTCAAAGGGTTATGTCATCTAACCATCTTAATATATAATTTAAAAACATAGAATTAAGATAAGTTCATTCCATTAATAATGCAGACCATTTCTGTGATGATAGAATCTGAAATTATCAGTAGTAGCAACATTGAATGACAGGTTGCAAAAATTTGAGAATTATGGGTAATGTGTATAAAATATTTTGCAGCTTACTAGAATACAAAAGTTATGTTTTCTCCAAGAATATTTGTGAAATCTATTTTTGGGCATGAGTGTACATTGTAGAACTGTTTGTGCCATAGTGTTAATTGTTATTGCTGTGATATTTAAATGTTTCTAATTAATTTTGTTCTACTTACTGTAGAAAGTGCTAAATCATTCAGCGTGGATTTTTTTTATTAGTGCTGGAAATATTCTACAAATTTTATAATTGATTTTAATTTTTTATTAAGGACAGTGATTTGTAAGACACAAAACATAATTTTATACATGCCTGATGTTTAAATATGCTGCTTGAAAAAAATGTTTAATACTTTTTTCAAAATTACATCTCATATATTTTTTATTTCTTTCTGACTATAAAACATTAAATTTGACTGTTGCAGATTTGCATCATTGAGAGTTCTTAATCTGGAAAATTTTGATTTGATCAGATGAAAAAATATAAAGTAATTCATCCCGTTTTATCAATTAAGTTCAGAATTACAGAATTAAAGTCTAAATATTATGATAATGAAAGTGTTGAAATATCCATACAAACTTTGTTATTTTCACGGACTTGTAAGATAGGTGAAATCTTTTTGTACATAGACACAATTTTTATATTATTTTATTTATAACTGTGTACATTTTTAATCTGTATAAGGTTATATAAACGAACCAAAGAACTTGTAAGCATTGTATGATTATTTGCACAATATTTGAAAGGTTTGTGCCTGACTGCATGTAATTTTTTGTGTGCTTGCTATGAACTTGAGATGAATGTTGGGTTGAGTGTTTTAAAAGTGAAATGACTGTGACAAGATGACAAAAAATTAGAATAATTACAAAATATTTATAAAACTGAATGGCTTTCATAAACCCTTGCAATCTTATTGGTTCAGAATAATGACACAACTTTCAAGTTAATTGATTTTAAACACAAAACTTTGAGACCGTTGAATAGTCATGATGATTTAACAATAGCCAATTGCATAAGAGTAATCAAAGTTATTATGGTTTTAAAACTAAAATGGGAGTGTGATTTTTTTTCGTTAAATATCTGTATATATGGAAAAAGACATGCAAGGTGTTTATTTTTAAGTATGACCGAACAAGTGCTGTATTTTTGTACATCAGTATGAATGTTGTGCACATTCTACGTTGCATCTAGTCATAAAATATCATAGTGGACTATGCAATGTGTCATTGCTTTGTATATATATCATTCTGTTATCATATCTATTGTTACAATGAAGGAGAAAAAATAAAGTTATTTTGTTGTGTAAATGTGTAGTTTTTGAGATTTTATAAAACTGATAATTGGCTACTGTGCTGAAAAAGAGAGGCGAAAGATACCAAAGGGACATTCAAACTCATATTTTCAAGTCGAAAATAAACTGACAATGCCATGGCAAAAAAAAAAAAGACCAAAAGAGAAACAAAAGTACAAAAACACAACATAGAAAACTTAAGACTGAGCAACACAACCTCACCAAAACCGGGGATGATTTCAGGTGCTACAGAAGTGTAAGCAGATCCTGCTCCACATGTGACACCCGTCGTGTTGCTCTCACAAGTACAAACCCGTTGATGAGTCTAATTTGGTAGGTCACATTCAGGAAAAAGACTTGTGTAATGGTGGTAAACAACATTTAAATTTCCTGTATCATTTAAAGGGGCACTAGCTACGAGATATATAAAAAATCTGAAATCTGATTTTTGTCGAGCCTTCGACTTGAGTCGAAAAAGCGAGACATAGCGATCCTACATTCCGTCGTCGGCGGCGTCCACAAATATTCACTCTGTGGTTAAAGTTTTTGAAATTTTAATAACTTTCTTAAACTATCCTGGATTTCTACCAAACTTGGACAGAAGCTTGTTTATGATCATAAGATAGTATCCAGAATTAAATTTTGTAAAAATAAAATTCCATTTTTTCCGTATTTTACTTATAAATGGACTTAGTTTTTCTGCCGGGAAATATTACATTCACTCTGTGGTTAAAGTTTTTAAAATTTTAATAACTTTCTTAAACTATCCTTTGTTTGTACCAAACTTGGACAGAAGCTTGTTTATGATCATAAGATAGTATCTGGAAGTAAATTTTGTAAAAAAATAAATCCATTTTTCCTAATTTTCCTTTTAAATGGACTTAGATTTTCTGCCAGGAAACAACACATTCACTCTGTGGTTAAAAGTTTTTAAAATTTTAATAACTTTCTTATACTATTTTGGATTTGTACCAAACTTGGACAGAAGCTTGTTTGTGATCAAATGCTAGTATCTAGAAGGAAATTTTGTTTTCTTCCAGTTAACATTACATTCAGTCTGCAGTTAAAGTTTTTAAGCATTTATTAGATTCATAAACTATCCTGGATTTATACCAAACTTGGACAGAAGCTTCTTACAATCAAAAGATAGTATCAAAAGGAATATTTTTATTGATTTACTTCCTCAATTTTGTTTAGCCTGTGATTAACAGAAAAAGTAGGCCTGACACTGAGTTCCACGGAACCCTTACAAATTTTTTTTGTTCAATCATTAATGAAAGTAGAATAGTGAAATAATAATTTGCTTTTAGCAGCCAGTATGGTTCAATTTTGTCAAAATAAGCTAAAAAACATTGATGATGAATTATTCACTTGCAAGTGAATAATTTGACCCCATTGAATCCGTATTCATGTGAAATTCAATTTAACCCCTTGGCTAGAAATAAATAATGCATGCATTGTGTGTGTTGAGTTATTTAAAGGAAAAGAATGTCAACATTGAAAGTGAAACAAAGGTAAATTATTTGATTGACTGATTCGATCCACAAAAATCATTCTTATACAGGTTAAAAAGATGATTAACATTTATTTTTAATCTATAATATGAAATTAAACAGACCTAGAAAAATCCAATTGCACGAGTTTCCATATCTATTTATATCCATATTTATGTTTATATTGCTTATATGGCCATCGGATGTGTTCGGAGGTCAACTCGATAGTTAATTAGATGGCTAGGCTGCTAAAAACTAAAATACACACGAAACGAAGCTACATATTCTCGAGCCCATGCCCTGTAAATTGTTTATTTTAGACTTTTTATACGACCGCAAAAAATTTTTGTGGTCGTATATTGGTATGACATTGGTTTTCGCACAATAACTTTAGTTTAAGTGAATGGATCTCTATGAAATTTTACCATAAGGTTCAATACCACAAAAGGAAGGTTGGGATTGATTTTGGGGGTTATGGTACCAACGGTTTAGGAATTGGGGGCCAAAAAGGGGCCAAAAATAAGCATTTTTGTAACTTCCAGACAATAACTTGTGTGTAAGCGTATGGATCTCTCTGACATTGTTCCACAAGGTTCCATATCACAAAGGGAATGCTGGGATTGATTTTGGGGGTAATTGCCTCAAAATTTTTGGAAAAAGGGGCAAAAAACAAGCATTTTTCTAGTTTCATGACAATAACATGTGTGTAAGTGTATGGATCTTTCTGAAATTGTACTACAAGGTTCCATTTCACAAAGGGAAAGCTGGAATTGAGTTTGGGGGTAATTGTCCAAAACGTTTAGGAATAAAGGACCAAAAAGGGGCCAAAAATAAGCATTTTTCTAGTTTCCAGACAATAACTTGTGTTCAAGTGTATGGAACTCTCTGAAATTGTACTGCAAGGTACCATACCACAAAGGGAAGGCTGGGATTAATTTTGGGGGTAATTGCCTCAAAATTTTAGGAATTAAGGGCAAAAAAGGGGCAAAAAAAAGCATTTTTCTAGTTTCAGGACAATAACTTGTGTGTAAGTGTATGGATCTTTATGAAATTGTACTACAAGGTCCCATATCACAAAGGGATGGTTTGGATTGGCTTTGGGGGTTATGGCTCAAACCGTTTAGGAATTAGGGGAAAAACAAGGGTTTCCTGGTTAATGGACAAATTAAAAGCAGTGTAAGCGAGGTAATCCAAAAACAAAATTGTACAATGTTGGATTACCTCCCTTACACTGCTTTTAAATTATCTATTTAAGGCTTTTATGATGCAATTAATTTGGTAATTATGGTTGCAAACTCCATTGGAAATTTGAATTGAGATTATGACCATATTTTGAGGGAAAGAAATTTTTTTTGGGGAAAACGGGGAGGGTAGGGGGGTAAAAAAGAAATTGTGGGGGGCATTTTTTTTTTTTTCATTTCAGATTTCAGAAATTAAAAAGAAAATTTCTTCAAATATTTTTTTTTTGCAAAAGAAAGGGGGGGGGGGATAAACAATTTTTTTTGGGGGGGGGGGGGGTCAATACGCAACAGCATAGTGTATTGCACAAAAGCAAAAAATTGAATATAAATTCAAATCATATATTCGATTCTAAGTTCCTTTACTACAGTTATTCGGTGTCAGAAACCTATTATGTGTCAAATATTTAATTACAATCCATATTCAGACCTGTATCAAGCGCGAATATTGTGTCCATTTTGGCCCCATGTTCAGGGTTGGACCTCTGCTGTCGTATCCAGGCAGCTGTGCTCAGCGAAGCATTTTATTATAATTTGGATAAATATTTTACATTGTTATCAATCAAATATGAGAATTTGAGTCAAATCGGTGAACATGAATTTGACAGCTAGTGCCCCTTTAATCATTGATTAGGCTATACATTAAGAAGATAACACATTTCTATGTAACGAGTAAGAATTAATCTTGAAATTCACTGAAGATTGAAGGAATCCAGTTTGTTAAAAACCTTGTAAAATATTTACAACTGCAATACTGCAATTGGTTTTTATATCATTAGTTAGGAGGCAAAACATAATTAAGAAAAAAACAAAAGAAAAATGAATGAATGGATAAGGCAAGTCCACCTGAGAATAGAAACCAAATCCAATGTAGGATACATTAGGAATATTGGAAATCGTCATATTTCTTCACAACTTTGAGTTTAAATTTGATTATAAAGAAAAAGTTAACTGATTATACTTTTAAACTCAACTGAGCATAATAAATGAAAATAGCGCGTTAAAAATTCTGTCTTTAACACTGTAACAGTCAACTGTATAAGTGTGTAGGAGTCATGGAATTCTTAAAATGTATAATTTCATTTATCACTAGCCCCGTAGCCAGTGCTTAAGTACTTGCATGAAAATACGGATATTGTTTGATTGAAATTTGCTGTATTGAAATTTGGAAATCATTTTTATATTCCCGTTTACGAGACTATTATGGTATAACGTCCGTCCGTCCGTCCGTCCGTCGTCAACATGTCTGACAATAACTCAAAAACACTTTAACCAATTTGCATGAAACTATGGTGAATTGTTTCTATCTATTTACGTGAGCTCCCTTTCGATTTTTATAAATTTTTGATTTTACGTTTCCGAGTTGTGGGGTTTTATTCATTAAAAAAGGGGGATTTTCCAGTTTTCGGACAATAACTCAAAAATGCTTTGAGCAGTTTTCATAAAACTTTGGTGAATTGTTTATATCTATTGATGTGAGCTCCCTTTCGATTTTTATAAATTTTAGATTTTACTTTTCCGAGGTATGGGGTTTTATTCATTAAAAAGGGGGATTTTCCAGTTTTCGTACAATAACTTGGGAATGCTTAGAACAGTTTTCATGAAACTTTGGTGAATAGTTTATGTCTATTGATATGAGCTCCCTTTCGATTTTAATAAATGTTAGATTTTACGTGTCCGAGTTATGGGATTTTATTCATTAAAAAAGGGGGATTTTCCAGTTTCAGGTTCCTGACTTAGGACAGGTGCAAACAAAAGCAGCGGGTTTAAAAGTTTTAATAGGCGCCAATCTTCACCCTACCTGAAACAATAGTGTTACATCACAACATAGAAAGACACACTATAAGATATCAATTGAAATGGCTTAACTCAATCAAAAGACATATAAACAAAACAAGTGAACATACACTGAACGAATAAATTTGATCTATGACACAATGTAAATACAAAATTAATAAAACGAAGGGGTTAGATGTTTAATAATATCAGAAAGACAACCATAACCTTGGACAAAATGCCGCCAAATAAAATAACGTACACAGGTATATAAAAATAATTTTGTTGTAAGGTATACATGGAGTACGGAAATAATTTTAAAAAAATAAATAATTTTGTTGTTCCTAGAACGAGAACAAAAGTGAAAATTTATCGTCATACTAAACACTTATCAAAGGTGGTATATATTAAAAATAGTGAGACTAGATATGGTATAACACTGAATAAGTAAACATTAAATAACACAAATACATTACAAATTGTATCAATAGGTCAAATTAACACGAAAG